TGCTAGGTTCTTAATGCATGGTAATAACATTGTTTGATAATTTGGATGTAAAAGTGTTATTGTGATATTTGTATAAACCTATAAGTGCATCTGTTGCTTTCTCACCCTAATGCAGTATTATTTGTAGATGTACTTATTAGCCTCCATTCCCCAATTCTTACTTCTCAGAAAAGGATACCTTAAGTTAGTCCTCTAATCTTAATAATATTGTTCTTTCCCCTGGTACAGGTGGTTTGTAGTAGATGTGCGCAATAATTTATATTCCAGCATTTAAAGTAGCTGTATTCCAATTCTTCTGAGCATCTCCAGTTTCACCTTTGAAGTGTTACTCATAAATAAAATCATACACATCAACCTCCAGGATCCATGCGAAAAAGGATAATAAACTAGCATGATTTCTTATATAATTTTTTTATTGTGCGCTGCTTATGATTAGTATTATTTTTGCAGGATCACAATCCTATGTGTACTTGTAAAGGGAGAAGTTGCTGATTTCCTGGGTGTCAGAGTGAACTACAGATAACCGTAATGTGTCTTTCTTAGTGTATTAATATTTTGCCATAATGGGGCTTAAATTAATTTGTCTGTTTTGTATGGCTAGGTAGTTCTGTCTTCATCTGGATGTTTTGATTTATGTAAACTTTTTATCTCTTTCTTCCATACTTGCCCAATTACAGTCTTATATTTCTCATACTGGAGATACATTTTAAAATGCATAGAATGTGCTCCCCATTCCAGTGTTTTCAGCAGGAGGTGATGGGAAGGTCAAGACTTCAGCATGTCAGCTTCTTGAGTTGTCACTTCATCCTAAATCCCACCTACCAACAAATAATGACATTTCTTCTTAGTTTTTATGCCCTTCTTGATTATTTCATATCTTTGGCTAGAATTAACTTACTTGATTTCATTTAGTGCCATAATGCCCCCCCGCCCAGAGCTTCTCCTTGAGAGATGTTTTATGAATTCACTATTTTCCTTTCTTCTGAGTACTGATAAAGTGACAGCCCCGTGGATTCTCCCTGTCTCTCCCTTTGCACTTCAGCTCTCACATCCTTTCACTCCCATTGTGGAAAATCATCGGTGAATGGCATCATTGTACTTCTGCTCTTGAAAGAGTTCGGCTGCAGATTCATCCTTCCTTTTTCATTCCAGTTAAGAGTTGTCATACCTCAGGTCCTATACAGAGGCTGTCATACAGATTCTAACTGAACAGCTGAAGTAGGTGTTCCCTGTTTGAACGGCTTTCCTGGACCACCTGGCAAAAGAATGAAACCTGCTGGTACAGGTGAAAAAATGCCTGCAGTGTCATGCCATGAAATCACCATCCGCTGCAGTTTTCAGCAGTTGCATGCTGTTTGTAGGCATACATTTAATCATAGTGTTGCCAGCCATGTTTAATCTATTGTTAAATCTACCTAGTGAGCTTTAAAACTGTGAGTTTTCCTTTTCTGTATGTTTTGTTTCCTATTTTTGTCTCCTTTCTTTGCTTTTGCAGGCTGTGTTATATGTTATATGTTTATGCTTTCTTCACATCATTATTTGACTGTTTTCTCTACATCATATCATCCACTGTTTTCTGCTGTTTTCCTGCCTCATATTTTTCCTTCTCTACTTTCTCTTTGAGCTTAACTCCTCTTTGTGCTTTCTCTCTGTTCTCCAAATACTTGTTCTCATTCACAGGTATGAGCAGTTCATGGTTTTTCACACATTGTTCAGTCCCAATGCTACTGCTTGGGCTATTTTGTTTCCTCAGATAAGTCCTTAGAACCAACCAAGGGCATTTCCAAGCTACTTTTTGTTGTGTTAAAGAGCAGTATTGGCTTCTAGGCAGTTTTACACACTTGAATATTCTCCCCACTTCTGGCCAGGTTCACCCCACTGAACTCTGGATGTCTAATGCAGGTGCCTAATTTATGTGTGTGGTCATCCACGGCTACTTCTGTGGTCAGTGGGAAGAGAAGGGCTTCTTCAAATAGTGGTTTGCACCAGGAGGGACCAAACTGATCCCAGAAGTATCCCTTCCTCTCTGCTGACCACCAAGGGAGCTTTGGATGACAGCTCTTCTAACCTGAGTCTCAGATTTGTAACAGCCACCTCTGTTAAAGTCTCCTGCTTGTACATGTGTTTTTAATTCTGGTCTCCTTCTAACATGATGGATTTTCAGGGGTTTTCCTATTTTTACTTAAAATAATCAATGCATCCATCTACAGCATTATGGAAGCAATGTAAGAAAATTGAACTAGTGTGCTTTAAAGAGCCCAAACAATGTATTCAGCCTAATGACTTTGTGGGGAAAGAAAGTTCTCACCACTTCCAGTCTCTGTAAAATTAGTTTTTCATCTGCCCCTATTCCTGCTGTCTGACTAATCGGTCTTGTGCACTTGAACTGATGAACTGCTTCTTGTGCTGCCACTTCCCTCCCTCTGCTGGAATACTGATGTACTCACGGCACAGAGAGAAAATATTGCAGCAGCGGAAGGTTTACTAAAGGACAGCCCGAGGCCCAGGCTGCAGAATTAGATCTTGAGTGGGAATATATAGGCAGAGAAGAAAAGCTGTGAAAGAGGGAGGCTAAAAATGCAACAGCCAGATTGAAAGAGCAGAGAAGAGCATAAAGGGGATAATCAGAGCTGTATGAAATAACAGTGGCGTGTGCTTTTACCTGTGTGGCTGGCACTTCTGAGTAACCTGATCAGTGTCAGCTTTAAAAACTAAGAAGTTGATAATCTATTGGCTTGTTAATGTAGTTAGTTAATTGATGTAATTTTTGCCAATTGGTAATGTGTAAAGAAAAGAATCACGTGAACATGAAATTGACCTGCCATGGTCAGCTCTGTCACTGTTAAAGGGTAGGTGATGGTGGTCTATGACTGTGTTTGGTCACTCATCACTATATTTGCTTTATGATTTATGTAAAGGAAATAATAGAAAAACCCTTTATGAATTTGAGGGCACTTTGGACATATCAAGGTTTCTTTTTCAAACTGCAGCTGAGGCAGCTTTCTGACAGCTTACTCCAGGACAAAGGAAAGCTGCTTGAATGAAGATTGTAGTATAAATGAGAATATTTGACACAGAGAATATAGATCTGTCTGGAACTTGCTTTATCCTATGCCTGGAGTCTGCATTCAGCTATGGACACTATCTTAGACTGCATTTGTGAAGCACTGTTGAAGAACTAAGCTTGAAAGCAATCAGGCATAGGCTTCTTTCCTGTCTGGCTTCTATACCACAAAAAAAAGCTGAGATTCTGTTCAGAAGCTGTTCAGCACCTGACAAACATTTTTCTTCCATGATGTTCTTAGCTTTAATTATAACTAGTTTTCTATATTAAAAAGTATTCTATTTGATAATTACTCAAACAATAATACACTCCATCTTTATTCCATGAACACCTTTATTTATTCTCAGACTAAGATGAAGAGTTTTGGGAAGCTACAGGCAGGGCAGTGTAACTGTCTGACACTTCAGGGCCCAGCTCAAGAGGCTGATGGCCTTTGATAATTAATCCTGCTGCAAATGTCTGCAGTAGAAGTCAGTGTTGCTCTCTTTACCTAAATTTTATGGTGTTGGCCTTTTATGAAGGAGCTAACTTAGACTTCAAGTTGATCAGGAGGAGAGAAAAATCACGTTAGCTGCTCTGTATTAGGTCTGCAATTTTACCAGATACATTCTGAGTGTGACATAAATTATCAGTTGGGTGGAACACTGAAACTATTCTTATAATTACAGCCTATGCTATTCCATCTGATGAGCTTGAATTTATAGATCTTTTATATGCATAAATTTTGAAAGAAACATCTTTAGCTTGTATAGTCGCACACTTGAAATAGAGAATGAAAATTAGTTAAGACTGTGTGTATGTGTACTTCCGCAGGTTAAACAAATTTATTTACAGTTCTGATTTCTGCTGTGTGGTTTTGCAAATACAGGTATGGAATCTGTCAGCAGTTCCACTGACAGTGCCATCGAGTACCTGTAGAGGAGGCAGCACTTCAAATTTCCATATTTTTAGCTGTTCTTCGAGGACGTTGTTACTGACAGTGGCATCAAGCGTGGCCAGAAATTGTTGCAGATCATGGCCTGACAGTTTGACATTGGTACTTGAACACTCTAGTGAAGAAAACTCTATGATAAATTAATTCTAAACCCAGGGGTTTTAATCAAAGAGCTTGCTTTTGCAAAGCTTAGACTTTATTGCTTGGAGTTAGCAGGTACGACAGCATCCTTTAATCCTCGCTTTTGACACGGCACGACGTCATCGCAAAGTTTAGGCAAGAGGCAGGAAAAAAAAAAAGGGGGCTGTTTAAAAAAGAAATGTGAAATAACAATGAGAAAGCCCTCCCCCTGGGAGACAGGTTACGGGATAGCGAGGGCAGCAGCGCGCAGGAAACACGCTCGGTGTCCCCGTGTGCCTGGGAGCGGAGGGAGGGGACGGACGGGAGGGAGCCGGGGGGGCCGGGGACGCGCCCGCCCGGAGCGCGCTTCCTGCTCGCCGCTGCCTTTAAGGAGGCGCCGGCTTTAAGGTGGACCGGCGCTGAGGCGGGGCCCGCCCGCCCGGCTCCGCCCGCCGCGTCGCCCTCCGGTCCGCCCCCCCGGCCGGGGCAGCGGGTGCCAGGCGGGGTTGTGATGCGGCCGTTGTTTTTGTAGGGTCGCGGGGCCGAGGTAGCGAGGCGGCCCATGGAGCCGGGGTACGCCTGGTAGGCGGCGTAGTCTCGCTCTTCCCCGCTCCCTTCGGCCGCTTTGTTAGCGCGAACACAAGCGCGCCTCACCTACACGGTGAAGAGGAAGGCAGCGCTCCCCGCACAATAATGGGCACCCGGGCGCTGCCCCCCGGGCCGCCGCAGAGGTGAGTCGGCGCCGCCGCAGGGCCGCAGGTTCCCCGCGGGGAGGAAGCCGAGCGAGCGGGCGGGCTGACAGCGCCGCGGCGCTGCCTTAAGAGCGGGGCGCCACCTTAAGCGGCCGCTGACTTTTCTCGTTACATTGTAGCAGCGGAAAGAATGTCGGCGCGGGCCGCGGGTGACGTCAGGAGGGAGCAGCGCGGCGCGGCCGCCAGGCAGCGGCAGCGGCGGCCCCGCCACGGCGAGGGAGGAGGCGGAGGAGGCGGGAGCGGCGCCGGCCCCGCCGCCACCGCAGCGGCAATGGCGGCCGTCGGGGAGCGCAGGTCCCTGCCCAGCCCCGAGGCGATGTTGGGGCAGCCCTGGAGCCACTGGGTCGATGCTGCTAAACTTCACGGGAACGACGGTGAGTGGCCGCCGAGCACCGCCGCCCCCACCCCCCTCCCCCCGGCCGTGCCCGGCGCAGCCCGCGGGTGCCCCGGGACGGCACGGTGGGGCGCCGGGCCCGGCGGGGAGCCCGGGTCCGTTCCCACCCCTGGCGTTCGCGGCCGAGTTCGTTGTGCGGTGCGCGCCCCCCGGGCGGGCTCGGGAGCGGCGCGGAGCGGGCAGCGCCTGCCCCAGTTCCTGTAATCCGGGACACGGTGCGAGCGGCTCGGAGCCGGTCCCCGGAGCCCGGCACCTCCTGCCCTCGATTGAGCCGCGCCGTGGGGCGGGGAGCTCCCGCCGCAGGTGAGGCATCCCCGGCGCTGACAGCGGCTCCGGGGCCCAGCTGCCCTCGGTCCCTCCGCTCCGTGTTTACGGTGCCCAGGGGAGCACGGGCTACAGGTCACGAACGGGGGTCAGTCCTACCCTCGGGCTTTACCGTGGATTGAAATCTTGTGGCTTTTTGGTTTTAGGAACAGCATTAGAAGAAAGTTTCAAGGAATACGGGAGAAACCGAGAAGCAATGCGACTTTGCCGAGAAGGTGAGTGCAATTCATTCTTGAGGAAAAGTGCAAGAAGTTTTCTTCCTCGTAACTACTTAGCAGAGGGGCAGGCACGGGAAAGAGAAAGGGTCAAAGTTTCCTGTCGGTTTGGATTTAGGACTGGTGGCCTGTCAGTGACTGGTGTTATTTGCGTTATTATTAAATTATTGCATATTTTGAAAACTATGAGTTAGGGCATAGTCTGTCCTTACTGTGTTTCTATATGTTGTTTGTTTTTTTTTCTTTGGACTATAAATAGTCCTAAGGAAACTCTGTGACCAACACTGATAAAATCTTCTCTTGAGTTACAATATTTTTATTCTTGGTATGATCCATGTCAGTATTTCTATACCAATCCCTCCCTCTGTCATGTCATTGTGTTATGTTTATTGCTTGGTACTCTGCTAAATGAGAGTGACCTTTCACCTGTGATTAGCAAAAGCCCATTACGGCCTAGTTTCTTGCAAGAGTAACAATGCTACTTGGAGTTGTAAGCAGATGATGAATGAAAGCTATAGATTATTATTTACTTTCTAACAGGCAGTGGAAAAAAGGAAGCGATGAGTGTGATTTATTATGTTAATTTTTGTTTGTTTGTTTTTCTAGTTTAATGATCGTTTTAGGACAGAGAAAGTTTTAGAACCTTTCTTAATATTGTTGGTTCTTGGTTCCCTCTGAGTGCTTGAGATGTGTGCCAGAGAACAGGCCCAGCTGTTTTAAATACTAGAGCAGTTAGACCCCAGTCATTTATTTGATGCTGTAGAAGTGGAAGACTGAGTTTGTAGACATGGTTTACAATCCTGGGAAGCAGAACTTGCCAGCGACCTTAGGAGATGATCTGATTCAGCACTTACTGACTGGTGAGCTGCAGGCAGCAAATGAAACCTAAAGCAAGGTGGCACAGGCTGGCAGGGTTGGGAGGCACTGATCCATGTTGAGCCTGAATAAAAATGGCTATTTTTTGTACAATTCCCAGTGTTGGTAAAATTTAGAAAGTGCAGTTTCTAGGGTCAGAGTCAGTGGTCAGGGGCATGGGAGATGCAGTAGGCAGCTGTGCTGCAGCGTGCAGATTCACTTGTGTTGTTATGCCATCTTCTTAAGTGTATCTGTGAGTTCTTAGGCACTTGAAAAATCACTTCATTACTTCATTGCCAAGTTCCAATCTAATCATTGTGCTGGATATGTAATTCATTTTTCTGAATAGACAAATCATTCAAATGCAAAAAAAGCATTTACAACAATAAACACACACATTATCCTAGTGCAGATTTTACCAATAAGGATTTTCAAACATTTGCTCTTATTTCTACCTCTTAAAATGCAAGCATCTAAGGTTTCCAGATTCTAAAGATTAGCTGGCAGGGTAAAGAATAATCTATCCTATTTTTTTCCCACTGGAGAGAGATCATGAAACTGTTTTTGTGCAGGCTGATCACTGAGACACAGCTTTTCTGCACTGACTCCAACCATGTGAATGATTTGTAGGGTTGTGAGTTGAAGGAATTTCATAAAATACTTTGAGAATTAAAAGTGAAACTTAGTAGCCCTGTCAGGCTTCCAGAAGTCTATTTATTTTGGTTGCTTTATGACATATGAATGAGACACTGACTTGGCATATACCTGTAGCTGGCCTGTAGGGAGCTTGGCCTGCTGCAAAATAGAGCTAAAATAGAATTAATTAAGTTTAGATTAACTTAACTTAAGGAACTAGAGGAGCAGCAAACATGCCAGCATATGTATGTGTTATCAAATAAAACTTTGGAAATGCTGAAATTATTCATTTTCCCAGGAAGAATTTTGCATTCAAAATTGAGAAAGAAACATTTATAAAGTAATTGGACTTTTTAAACCTTGGTTCTTAACAGAGAAAGGTAAACCAAAAGTATAAATTTTGTAAAATCCACTTTAACCTCAAGACTTTTGTCGTGGTACCCCACAGTGTTTTAAATACAAGTAACAACAGAACTCCTGTGTAAGAAAGTTATTTCTCTACAGATTGGGAGTTGACTCTGAGGCCCAACTTCACAAAAGGATTTCAAGGTTATTTAGGCTAATTTAACCTTGCATTGCAACTCTTCCAGTTTGCATAAAATTAAATATTCATGGCCTGGAGAGGGAGCAGAAGAAGGAACATGACTTTACAGCCTACATTTTAGAATTTGGTTCAAAACCAAGAACCATTTTCTTTATTTACCAATTGTCAGGCTCCCACTGGCCTGTGTCCCCACTGGGCTATGGATGGTGGTTGTTTCTTTTCCCATGTGCTGTTCTCTGCATCTCCTGGTGGGAATGGCCTCATCCTCAGCATACCTGGTAGTGAGAGGTGGATTTCAATCTCACAGGCAGCTGAGTTTGAGTCTCCTGAATGAAAAGTGAGTGTTCCTCTTGTTGTAACCCTGTACTGGAAAAGGGGCTTTAACATTGCCAGCCTCTCCTTTTGTTAAGCTTTAAAGGCAAAGAATGATGGATGCTATTTTAAAGGAATAAAGGAGGATGTAACTGTGTAATTCCAGGGCAATATTTGCAAGCAGTGGAGAGAGGCAGGATTTCAGACACACCTTTGTCAGTGGCACTTTCTATTTGCTGATCAGGCAGCTCCTCTCTGAGCATTTTAGTGGTTGTGAAGCCTGATGAGTCCTTAATACCTGTTAATGATGCTAGTTCTATGCAGGGATCAGGCAACATGTTTGTTTTTTTCTGTTTCTAACCCTCCTTGTCATAACCAAGCTTGCATTGAAATAAGAACTAGAATTTGAGTTTGGGCTTCCCAAGCTCCAAGTGTTTGTGTCTCCATGTACTTCCATGTTTCTTTTTCACTGCTCTTACATGCTTTCTGTTCTGCTAATACATAATATTAAATCTTTCCTGCTGGGATCCTCACTGACCTTCATCAAAGTGAGAAACTGACTGGACACTTTCCTATATGTTGCTTTTTGAGACAGTAACAGTCCACACTGAGCTCTGATGTAGAAATCAGCTGCAGGAATAAGGTATGGGCCCAGTGGACTTGACTTGCTCTTGGTATGGAAAATCCCAGGAGATGGAAGTGAGAGAGGGATACCCAATGGGATGGGAAGATTTTACTTTAAAATAAGCCTTAAACTTTACTTTGACTTTATACACTGAAACCTTCTTCTGCTGAGCAATCCTATCAAGGTAAGAACATGTTAGAATCAATTGTGCTCATTAGTTCTTTTCATATGTAATTGATGTGACAGAATCTCTTGGCTCATGCAGTCACTTAATTACTTACTGCTCTGTGAAGCAGCTGAAGGTGTGAATCCCCTGCCACTCACTTGTGCTGTGATGAAGCAAGGGTAGCATGTTGCATTGTAATATGTAGATGAATTCCAAAACAGCAAGGCAGAAAATCTCATCCTCTTCATGCATTTTTCCTGTATTTTTAAATGAAACTTTGCTGAAGTGCATCTTCTAGACTTGTGTGATGGTGGGAGCAAGTGCCATCAGATGCAGCCAAAATGTTTTCAGTCACTCAGTTCATCTTGGAGGTGCAGTAGATCTTAAAAGGAATTTGATGTGTCTGTAGTACCTGACACTGTTTGATTTGAAAAAAAATTATTCTTTCATGTCAAACCTCATAATCAGTGCTTAAAACAGTTTTTCTGGAGATCCTTGCTAACTTGTGCTGAATTTAGTTTGCTTTTAAGGATTTTTCTAGCCCATTGTTGCAAAGAGCATCTCTAAATAGAGCTGTGCCTCTGAGTGTAGAGTTCATGCGTGGTGACTTTGACAGGCTTCAGCAGAGGCAACTGTTGCTTCTTGCAAAATTTAACAACAGGTTGGCTCATTTTGCTCTGTCAGAGTAGGGAAGCTGTGGATAGAAACAATGAGGACCAAAGTTGTTTATTGGGGCTGAGGGCCTAACCCTCTCCCACCACCAAGGAACTCTTGACTCTCCCCTCAACCAATTGCTAAAGGTTGTCATGGATGTTCCTTTAAATAAAACAAAAACATGGGGGAAAAATCCAAAATAAGAAACTCAAACCATCCCCACCCCCAAATCTGTATTTGAGAGTCAGAGAGATACAACCCATGTACATCATCATTAAATACACCATTACTTATTAATTTGTGCAACCCTTTTGAAGTGGTTGGGATAAAAGTCTCTTGTATTCTTATACTGACTCATAAAATAACTTTGAAATACTTAAAATTATAAGAAAAGAAACTATGGCATCTCAGATGGGAAAATAAAAGCATGGGGAACAGAAAAAGAGATTTGGCTAGACAATTTAAAATTGGTTGGTTTTTTTAAGTGTATTCAGTGCATGCTGAAATTATGGTGTCTTTACTAGAGCCTAAGCACCTCATTCTTTCAGTTACACACACAGCCCCTTTTTTAGTTTGTTTGGGTATTTTTGTGTGTGTTAGATCCTTTGAGAGGTGAATCCTCTGTCTATTGCTGCTGTCTATTTCAAACACTTCAAACCATAACTTAGAGTTAAATGGCAACAAAGTAGAGGAGGAGGAAGATGACAGACCATCTGTAACTTGGGTCCCAGGTCAGAATTGGTGTTGGCTGTGGGGTGATGTAGTAGAGTACCAGTCTTACAGCTTTCAGAATATTCTGTCTTAATAAAGCAAGCAGTGAGTTTCCTGTGGGAATGCAGATTGTCACTTTTTGGTGGGCACCTTCAGAAGGCACTCTGGAAGGTTTAGTGACAGTAGGAATTAGTCAGGAGAGCAGGTGGGAGCAAACTCTGTTCAGCGTTGTGTCACCTGGTAACAGCTGAACTTCTGGTCTTTGACACCTAATATATCTTGGGGGTAAAATAAAAAAGGCTCTGTGAAGCTCTAAGGCATTCAGCAGAAGCTTTGAGGTTTGATTATATTAATTGCTATTAATGGAAGTTACCAGAGCTGTGACAGTACTAAGAGCCGTGTGATGAACCCTTGTTCTTCTTCAGCTCTTTCTGGGCAGTGAAATCCAGGCCTGGGAGGCTCACTAGAAGCATCTTTATCACATAGACCCAAGGTCT